CGCGGGCCCGGCAGGGGACCGGCACTGGGTGTTCGACGAGGCGGCGCTGGAGCCCGGGTACCCGCGGGCGCTGCGGGAGCTGGGCCGGGGCGTCCCCACCGACCGCCTGGACGCCGCCCTGCTCTGGCTGCCCAGCGGGAAGACCTACTTCTTCCGGGGGGACAAGTGGGTGCCGCCTCCGGGGACCTCCGGGGACCTGCTGGGGACCTGCTGGGACCTTCTGGGGACCTCCTGGGACCTTCTGGGGACCTCCTGGGGCTTCTTGGGACCTTCTGGGGCTTCTTGGGACCTTCTGGGGACCTGCTGGGGACCTGCTGGGGCTTCTCAGGACCTTCTGGGGACCTCCTGGGAGCTTTTGGGGACCTCCTGGGGACCTGCTGGGGACCTCCTGGGGCTTCTCAGGACCTTCTGGGGACCTTCTGGGGCTTCCTGGGAGCTTCTGGGGCCTCCTGGGATCTTCTTGGGACCTTCTCTGGATCTTCTGGGACCTGCTGGGGACCTTCTGGGGCTTCTTCGGATCTTCTGGGGCCTCCTGGAAGCTTCTTGGGACCTTCTCTGGATCTTCTGGCACCTTCTTGGGACCTGCTGGGGCTTCTTGGGATTTCCTGGGACCTCCTGGGACCTTTGGGGACCTTCATGGGGCCTTTGGGGACCTCCTGGGATCCTCTGGGACCATTTTGGGACCTGCTTGGACCTCCTGGGGCCTTCTTGGGACTTGCTGGGGCTTCTTGGGACCTTTGGGGACGTCCTGCGATCTGCTGGAACCTTCTCAGATCTTCTGGGGGCCTTCTGGGACTATCTTGGGATCTTCTCGGGTCTTCTGGGAGCATCTGGGGCTTCTGAGGATCTCCTGGAACCTCTTGGGGCCTCTTGGGAACTTCTGGGACCTTCTGGGGCTTCTTGGGACCTTCTGAGAACTTTGGGGACCTTCTTGGGACCTTCTGGGTCTTCTTGGGACCTTCTGGGGCCTCTTGGGATCTCCTGGGCTCTTCTGTGATCTTCTGGGATTTCCTGGGACCTTCGGGGACCTCCGGAGACCTCCTGGTACTTTCTGGGACCTCCTGGGACTTCTTGGGATCTTCTGGGACCTCCTGGGACCTCTGGGGACCCCCCTGTCACCCCCTCTCACCTCTCTGGCACCTCCTGGGATCTCCTGGGGCCTTTAGGGGATCCTTTGGGGACCTTCTGGGGCTTCCAGGGACCTTCTGGGCCCTGCTGGGCTCTCTGGGGGGACCTGGGACCTCCTGGGACCTCCTTGTCACCTCCTTGTCACCTCCCCGGGCCCCATCCCTGTCCTCCTGCCCGTCCGCTGTCCCCACGGTGATGGCCCCACCCCCACGCCCGTGCTGGTGTCCCCAACCCCACGGTGACGTCCCCACACCCATGCAGATGTCCCCAAGCCCATGGAGATGTCCCCAAGCCCATGGTGGTGTCCCCATCCCCATGCCCTCAATGATGTCCCCAAGCCCATGGTGATGTCCCCATGGCCACCCCATGCCCATGGTGGTGTCCTCACGCCCATGGTGGTGTCCCCATCACCATCCCCATGCCCTCAGTGATGTCCCCAAGCCCATGGAGGTGTCCCCAAGCCCACGGTGGTGTCCCCATGGCCACCCCAAGCCCATGGAGGTGTCCCCAAGCCCATAGTTGTGTCCTCATGGCCACCCTATGCCCATGGTGGTGTCCCCACGCCCGTGACAGTGTCCCCACGCCCATGGTGGTGTCCCCATCCCCATGCCCTCAATCATGTCCCCAAGCCCATGGTGATGTCCCCATTGCCACCCCATGCCCATGGTGGTGACCCCAAGCCCATGGAGGTGTCCCCATCCCCATCCCCACGCCCTCAATGATGTCCCCAAGCCCATAGTCGTGTC